ATATATATACATATACATACATACATATACATACATATACATATATACATATACATATATATATATACATATTTTTCGAATCAGCAAAGATAAGGGGAGGAGACAAATGTAACTTTGCTTTCCATTCATTAATTAAAATAACTTCAAGAACACTGAAAGCAAATAACTTTGATATTCTTACATGAAAACCACAATATTTAAGATATTTATTCTCAGAAAGATGAGAATACATTGTGTGGGGAAAGGGTCGTGTGACTCTCTCAGAGGGGGCGTGTCTACAGCACCGGACTTTAAATCTCCTCCGTGATGAAGTGCGCGGTCTCAGTCTGTTCATACCTTGTTGTTGTTGTTGTTGTGCCTTGGCCCCCGATGGTGGCGCTTCATATGTGTGGACATGCCGATGTTTTATCTCTCTCTTTAAACAACGCCTACATACTGTAACGGTTTCGTCCACCGCCCTCATCCCGACATTAGAAGTTACAGGGAAGACAAAATGCTCCCAAACTTGAGACTTAAGTGACGCCGGGATCTTCTGTAGTTCCTCCGCTCGCCATGACTTTCACCGTTAAATGATTCTAACACGCTCCGTTCACGTGAACACACGACTGCTTTATATCCGTTCACTGACACTCTGCATTGATATTTTTCTTTAGATGCTTTCAGCTGGGAGGAATATCTAAAGGAGACGTCTTCTCTACCGGCTCCACCAGGCTGCTTCCGTCAGGTTTGTCCTCCTGGATTTCTAAACTTAAATGTCAATTTTCAAGTAAGAATTAGCAGAACTGTAGTCTTGGATAAAATAGTGCACATCTGTTTTATCCTTTTTGTTTTTTCATTTAAATATCTAACATTCATTGTCCAAACTGAATCTGGTTCAGGTAACGAATCAGAAAAGCTTAACTGGGGCAACAGTGCTTCTGTGTGTTGCTCCCAGTTTTATGCATCACTCCAAAGTCCTATATTTATGACTGTGGATGCAACGCTGCCCTCCCGACCTCGTCCCGGATTAAATAATGATTTGTCGTGCAGTGTGTTTGATTGGCGCTCACAGTATCCGTGACATCCGCAGGCCAGAGTCCCGCCCTCCAACGACTTCAAGGTGGGAATGAAGCTCGAGGCCCACGACCCGCGCAACTCCACCTCCGTCTGCATCGCCACCGTGATGGGTCTGACGGGGGTCCGCCTGCGTCTCCGTCTGGACGGGAGCGACAACAGCAACGACTTCTGGAGACTCGTGGACTCCTCGGACATCCAGCCCATCGGCAACTGTGAGAAGAACGGGGACATGCTGCAGCCACCGCTGGGTAAGAAGTCGGGGGGTGAATGTGCTCTGTCCCTGGTAAATATGAATGAATGAATAAATGAATGAAGAGAAGAACTGGTAGACTGATGCAACCCGAGTTGAAAATAATCGTTAACTGTGCTGTAGAACATTTTGCTTTGCGTCTTCTGTGGGAACATAATTAAGTTGCACACATGTAAACAAAAATACTAAACTGACCCAGAAATTCACTGCTGGGGAGCGTTATGTGGGCTTTGTTTGGTTAATTGGCATCATGTGAAACCACAAAGAACAGGACTCAAAGGGACCACTTCAGAGACAGGAGCTGGATCCAAAAACCGGTTCAGTAGACAGGAAGTAGCCCAGAGAGGAACCACGAGGAACTGGTCACAGACAAAGAGAGCAACAAAGACTAAATACAACAATCAGAGACAGGTGACAGCAAGTCTGACCTGACGAGTAGAAACCAATCAGGGCGAGGCACGAAAGCACACAAGAGACAGGAAGTGAAGCAGTCTGCAACTAAAGAGGCGGCTAAATAAAACAGGAAATATGAATAATTAACATAGAAACAAGGAACAACACGAGTCAGGAGCAGGAGAGATGTCAGGGTCTCTGTACGAGAGTTTCCAGACAAGAAGTTAACCTTTTGATTGTAAAGCTTAATATTATTCATACTTAAGAATAGTTAAATAATATCCTGATCCTGAATAAGTTAATCTCACTTGTGGTTTTAATGTTATTACAATATTCCCCCCCCCAGGCTTCCGGATGAACGCCTCCTCGTGGCCCATGTTCCTATTGAGAACCTTAAACGGAGCTGAGATGGCTCCAGTGATCGCCTTTAAAAAGGTTCGTGCTGCTTCATGAACAAACACCCGGAACACAAACACGGTACAGCGTTTAAAAAGTCGTAACGAGGACTCTGCGCTGGGTTCCCCCCCCCCCCCCCCGAGCCTCCGAGGCCCCCCCAGAACAACTTTAAGTCGGGCATGAAGCTGGAGGCCGTGGACAAGAAGAACCCGTACCTCATCTGTCCGGCCACCATCGGAGAAGTGAAGGGCGACGAGGTCTTCGTCATGTTCGACGGCTGGCGAGGCGCCTTCGACTACTGGTGCAAGTATGACTCCCGGGACGTCTTCCCCGTGGGCTGGTGCTCGCTCACCAAGCACGGCCTCCAGCCGCCCGGCAACAGCGGTGAGTCACGTTCTCCAATGATTGATCGCTGATGATCCATATCAACAGATACAGATCCCTTTGATGTTTGATCAGACCAGCTGCTCTACAAGGATCCACAAGATCACTTCAACGCTCCGAAGTCATTACACCATCAAAACTACTCAATGTTATATATTACTTTGTTATAGTAATTTACAGTGTTTTCTATCTTCATAACAACTCACAGTTCAGAGTTTTAGTTTCTTGGCGTTTCTCATGAGCTTCTGGTCTTTTTAACTTTGACTCTTTATTCCTGCTGCTCCTCCAGTCACTCTGCCAAAGAGCGTGCCAATCCTCCCGGCGTCGCCCTCCAAGCCCAGCAGGCGCTCCATGCAGTCCCCCTACCGCCTCCCCAACCCTCTGCCTGCTCTGCCCGTCAGGAAGGGGGTCCGAGGCCGCCGGCCCAAGAGCGAGACCATCGCTCTGCTCAAAGCCGTGGCGGAAGCAGCGGCGGCGGCGGTCGCCGAGCAAAACGGAACCGCGCCCGAAAGCACGCAGCTCGTTCCCCGACCCCACAAGAAGAGAGGGCCAAAGCCTGGAAGCAAGGTGAGGCCCCGCTGCACAAACACAAACCCCCGACGTCAGCACTTTATCTTTGCAAATTAATGTGTGTTTTTCTTTCCAGAGGAAGTCCAAGATTCTCCAAAGCCCCGGACATCTGCTGAGCATCCAGGTTCCTCAGGAGAGCCCCGGCAGCCTCAACTCCATGGTCTCAACAGGTGATCCGCCGTTTGATCCCATAGTTAAGAGATTTCATTTAAAACCATCAGCTCACCGGGTCCTCCTCTGTGTGTTGTTGCAGTGTGCGTGTACGTGAATAAACAAGGGAACTGCGGCCCCCACCTGGACCGGAAGCAGATGCAGCGTCTCCCGGACCACTTCGGTCCGGGCCCGGTGAACGCTGTGCTCCAGCTGGTGGTCCAGTCCTCTATAGACTGTGCGTACCAGCCCAAGGTCCTGCTCAGCGCCCTCCAGACTCACTCGGGAGGAGGAGAGGTGGTCAGAGGTAGACTCACAGACACGTTGTGATTGGAAGTACCTTGCCTTTTAAAATCTCTCTCTCTCTCTCTCTCTCTCTCTCTCTCTCTCTCTCTCTCTCTGAACGAGATGCTGCCCAATGTTTCTTTAATTCATTTTATTGTTTATTTGAACTTTGACTCTGTACAGTTATTTTATTCCCTGAAGAAGGTAAATCAAACATCACGTATCATGTGGTCCTTCCTCCGCAGTGAGAACCGACGGGGGCGTCCGTGTGGTCAAACTGCCGTCGGCCTCCAGCGCCTCCTTCGTGCTGCGCTTCCTGGAGACGATGTGTCGTCACCTGCAGTGCGACAACCTGTTCAGCAGCCAGCCGTTCAGCCACTACGACAGGACCAAGTCAGGTGACGCCCTGCATTCACCAGTTCTCACGGTAAAAACTAAAAAGCAGGAGGTGAGAGGTCACTTTAAAACGTCCCGTTGCTCGTTCCTGTGTTTCAGTGAAAGAAGAGGCGCTGGACGCTCCGTCTCTGGCTCGGGGGAGTAAACGGAGTCTCTCCGGAGTCTCGCCGCCGTACGCAGCTCCTCTGTCGCCGAAACATTTACGCACTGAAGCTCATCCTTCAGAAGGTACCGCTCGCTGGGATGTTCATGTGTTGTTGGGGTGACCAGATGAGACATGCAGAGTTCTTCTCAAAGAAAACTAAAACTGTGTCAATATGGCAACATTTTAGATTTGAAAAACGTGTAAACACTGTCGGGAAAACATCACGGCTCCTTCTTATTTATTGTTATTGGCAGTTGGTAAACGAGCTTAGAGGAGCATTACCGCCAAGTGGACAGGAGTCGCTGCACTCTGATTCATGTGTTCACTACCACATTGTTAACGAGTGCTGCTCAAGCACCTCCGGTTCCAGTAGGAGATGCCGACGCTTCATGTGTTAAAGCTGCATTCTCTCCAGTGTCCACCAGGGGGCGACTCCTCTGGTTGTATAGAAGTCTATGAGAAAATGACTCTACTTCTCTCTTGATTTATTACCTCAGTAAACATTGTAAACATGAGTTTATGGTCTCAATCTCTAGTTTCAAGTCTTCTTCTATACAGCATGATGTTCATTTAGTACATTATGGTCCATTTAGAGTCAAACAGACCATAAAGCAGGGGATGCTTTAGGGCGGGGCTACACAGTGATTGACAGGTCTCTACCAGAGACGTATACGACGTCTCTATGTCACTCCTCCTCAGTCCTTATATGGTCACTTCCTGTTCACTGGTTGTAAAAGGTTTTTTGTTGCTGAACTTGTTGAATGTGCGGTTCTCTCTCCAGCAGAGACTCTGCCTCATGAAGAGAACGGCCTCCTAAAGGAGCAGCGCTACATGGACTCGGCCTCCAACTCCATGACCCCTCGACCCCAGACGGTGCGCAGCTCCTCGGAGTACCACTCTCACGCCGGCGCCCGGTATCGCCACGGCGCGGCCGTGCGGCGCCTCTCCTCCAACCCGGCGGAGCTCAGCTCCAAGCAGCAGCTCAGACGAGTAGAAGGTACGGTGAGACTCTGGACGTACGGTAGACGTGTGATTGTAAACGCTCCGGTGCTCAGTGTGTACGTTGTGCTTCCGGTAGCAGCCAGCTCCACCACCGGCCCCGAGGCTCTGGGCTCTGAGCTGCCCGGTAGAAACCCGTCGTCCTGGTCCATCGAGGAGGTGATGCAGTTTGTGAAAGACGCCGACCCCACGGCGTTAGCTCCGCACGCCGAGCTGTTCAGGAAACACGTGAGTGCCCTTTTACTTTATGTGGAAGTGCTTACATTGTCAGACCGATGCCGAGTTCACACTGCACGACTTCAGCCGTGACGTTCCGCTCGCCGACTCAAGAGGAGGACAAGAGCCCCGGATCAGAGACTGATCGAGCACTCTGTGTGAACTGTAGACCAGACGTCGTGTTAACTGATTATTTTCCGTCATTGATGTAATGTTTTCCACGATGATGGAAACACTCGTAAGGATGTCTGTCGCATGAAGTGCAATTTTTTTATTTATTTTTTTTTTTTCCCCCGTTGAAGCGAGTGCTTGCAGGATCGAGGAATCCGAAGTCTTTACTAGCAGCTGTTAAATTCTGTATTTAATAATTCTACTCCTGCCGACATGCGGAGGAAGCAGCTGTTATTGGAGCGGCTAGCGAGCGTTCAGACCTACGGAGCGACGTCTGAAGTCACAGTTTGAGGCTTTGAGGACGACGGACACAAACGAGGATTTTACTTTTCTTATTGACGCTTATTTTGTTCTGCACAACTATTGTGAAGTTCACACAGAAACTGTAAACGAACAAAAGCATAAAATGTTGTTGCACTGAGAGGAACATGAATAGATAATAAAGACGTGGAAACACCAGAGAAAGAGACGCTGACTTTAGCCGTGAAGCTCCATCTGTTTGAACAACGGACAATATTAATATTTTATATGTAGTGTTTTATAACTTTATGGTTTTATTGATTTTGGACAGCGTCATGTTTTTATGTTGTGATTTTTAGTATTTATACATATTGTATTTCGCTCTAATTCTTTCTTTTTCTATGGTTTTACCAGGATCAGTTCAGTGTTGACTTTAATGTATTATTATTTATTTATTTGACTTAGTTTGGTGTGCATTAGTCTCTTCATACATGTTGTCCTGTTTTTATTCTCTTTTATTGGATCCTGTGTTTTGGTCGTTAGTGCGGCTGTGAACTCTACTTGATTAGTTTGAAAGACGATGAGTTTGCAGCGCTCACTGCTGACCACAAGCTGTTTACTGTACATGTATATTCATATTAATACATTAATACATGTATATTAAAGATCATTTTGTCTCGTCCTCTTGTTGAAACAGGAGATCGATGGAAAAGCTCTGATGCTGCTGCGGAGCGACATGATCATGAAGTACATGGGTCTGAAGCTGGGTCCGGCTCTCAAGCTGTGTCACCACATAGAGCGGCTGAAGCAAGGGAGACCCTGAAGGAGCCTGCGTCTGGACCGGGACTCGTGGGGGTGGGGGGGGGCATGTGGATGGTCTGAACTCATATCAGGACTTCATCCAGACCTCCAGACCCCCCCAGCGTGGACCAGGTGTTTGACACATTACCTCACCCCCTCATCAGTTTTGACTTTTAAGGAATCCCAAAGGACCAGAATCCTCTGCAGTGTTCTCGTTGCTCTGCACACGGAGGGCACACGGAGGGCACACGGAGGGGACACCCCCCCGCCCCAAAGATGGAGAATGTTTCTTCTTATAATAATGTTTTTATTCCTGTTGAATGAAGGACGGGTCGGTTTTTACTGAGACAACTAAACTAACTCCTCAGAAGTTCTTCCCTTCGAGAGGAGACTCTTTCCTCCTCCTGCAGAGCGCTGATCGATGTGTTCTGATCGACTCTCATTGATCGGCCGCGGTTACACTCGTCTTCTCAACATATACGGTGGATAAACGCTTCATCTCCTATTAACTCTTCACAATAAAAGCCCCGTTATCTCTGCTGTATTAGTAGACTTGTTTTAAAAAGCTCTGCTAATATAGTGATGAGCACATTTTACTATTAACTCTGCACAATAGGGCTGCGACTAAACATTATCTTCATTGCCGACTGATCGGTCAATCATTTTCTCGATTAATTGATTCGTTTTATGTCAATAAAATGTCAGAAAATGGTGAAAATTTGTTTTACCGGGAGAGTAGCTGCTAACGAAGCTACGCTAACTCAATGATCAACACATTTTCCTATGAATTCTCTTCTTTTGTTATTTAAAGGTTTCATGTTGAGGGAAATCTTCCGCACTAACTTAACTCAGACAGCAGCTCTCCAGGTTTTCTTCTTCTTCTCTTCTGGTCGTTAGAGGAAGATGACGGAGAGACTAACACGTCCGTATGAAAAGACGAATGTAACCGCGGCCGGAGACGGACGTCTTCTTCAACGTCGTCACGTTTTATTAAATCCGACAGTTCTGATCGAACCTCACATTTTCCACGAGTTTCCTGCCGTCATCATCACCATCATCACCATCACCATCATCATCATCACCACCATCATCATCACCACCACCATCACCACCACCATCATCATCACCACCACCATCATCATCACCACCATCATCACGCCCTCCACGCTCTTCTGACTCGAGTCGACGATGGTTCATGGATCTTTTTTAACATTTTAACGTTTCCTCATAAATCTGGTGAGCTCGTGGGTTCTTCTGAAGCGTTACAATCACTGTTGGATGAAGACAGATGTGTACAGTTTTTATGGGTTTAACCATGAATATCAGCGACAGAATGTACATTTTGTAGAAACCTAATATTTTTAAGGAGATCATCTACACAAGTTAGAAAAGGCAGATTTACATATTTTTAATCTCTTTTAGTTCGGCTCCTCTCAGTAAAGTTTAGACGCTGCCTTTCTTCACCGACGACGTCTCTCAGGTCTGCGCGGTCTTTGTTAGGACGAGCTTTTGTAGCAAACTGTTTATAATGAAAACACTCTACAGAATGTTCCCGTTCCTCCTGGATTCAAACAAACACACTTTTTGTGCCAAATGACGTTGAACACGGAGCGCTGAGAGCGGTGCGTTCTTCGCTTCTCTTTATTCTTCAAACTACTTGAAATCGGTGTCACTAGTCCGTTTTCTGTCACAGCAGATAAACAATGTGTGTTCATGACGTGTATTTGCTTTGCTTTTTATAAACCTACCAAAAACTACAAGATGTGTTTTTACTGACTGACAGGAAGTGATTTAAGACCAAGTTACAGAAACATGGAAGTGATGGAAATGAGAGATTTTGGGACTCGTTTTCTATCTCTGAGTCAAATATTCATATTTATATTGAATATAACAAAACAATAGAGAACAACTGATATTTAACACAATAACTGCAGGAAGTTTGTTTAGAACGAGCCATTCGGATATATTTTCAGCAGATTATTTCTTTTTTTCTGAACTTTTAAAACAATGTCTTTATTGTGTTTGTTTATTTTAAATGTATTTTAAATAACAATCTGAACTTTAATAAGTAACTATTTCACAGAAATGAATGAAATGCTGAGAAAAACTATATGTTTAAAAAATAAAAATAAAGATTCAAGAAGACCTCGAGACCGCTGTGAAGCTCCGAAGGCCCTAAGGGGGGGGGTCGGGACCCTCGGGTTGGGAACCAGTGATGGACAAAGATCAAAGCTTTCCTTCATTAAACTAAAACGTTACGTCTCAAGTGGAAGAAAAAAGACGTCGTTTTCTTCCGACATGAAATAAAAGAACACTATTCTTTTAACAGGAAGTAGGTTGAAGCTGAAGCTGAAGCTTTTATTAATGTCTCTTCTGTCTAAAGTTCCTCATTTATAAAGTTTAACAATGAAGGTTTAATGTTTAAACTGAAATAAGGTGATACATTATTATTCTCTAAGTTACATCTTTTAACTAACTTAACTATCAAATATTTATTAATTTTCAGATTTTTGTAATTTAATTTGTTTTATTTTCTGCATAATAAATGCTAGGAGGGGATTTATTTGTCACAGTCTTGAATACATAAATATTAAAGATTTTATTTATTTATTATTTTCCATTTTCACCAACATCAGTTCTGATCACAACAACCAAATATGTTTACATGTTCTGTATATTAAATGATATATAAATTATATGTATTTTTTCACAGTCTTGTAGATGTGCATGATCAGCAGAATTGGTTTTGATGGTTTTATTGCGCAGTCAGATTAAAACAACCACTCATTGGTTTCATTATATACCAATATGTCCGCTTCCTAGAATTCATATAAAAATACGATCTATTAATATTTACCAGTTTGTCTGAATTATTTCCTGTATATTAAATGCTAGGAGGGGGGTTGATTTTGACGCATTTTCATTATAATAATTAAAAATAAACTTAACATAAGTCTTGATCATAATTACCAAATATTCATTCATTTTAAGAATTTAAACCTTTTTACATTTTTGTATAAATGATGCTTATTTATTTAATAATCATGTTGTTTTCTTCATATTATTTTATATATCTCAGTAAATTGATGACTTGAGGTACAAACTGATGTTTTGTCCGCTCTGCTCCACTGACTCTCTCCAAGGGTACATCCCAAGTCTCCTAGGGTACATCCTAAGTCTCCTAGGGTACATCCCAAGTCTCTTAATGTCATCCTCGTTTCCCTCACTTGCGTCCTTTCCTTGCGTCTTAGTCCCTCCCACCAGGGATGCATGGAGGAAACCATGCGAGGAGAGAGGAACGAGGAATTATGTTTTAAGAGACATGAGACGTCATTTCCTCAGTTGCGTCACGTGAAGCAACGTCTGTTTCTGATGACGGAGGATCAGCTGATCACAGCTGATCAGCTGTCAGTCGGCTTTAACAGCTGGAGAGACTTTTGATAAGTTTGTGTTCACATGATCACTGTACTTAATAACAGTAACTAATAACACTAATAACTCATAAAGACACACAGTGATCACCACTGTACTTAATAACAGTAACTAATAACACTAATAACTAATAAAGACACACAGTAATCACCACTGTAGAGGTGTTTCTCTCTGTAGTCTGTTAAACTGTGTCCTGTGTTCTGTTTATAAGCACAGGATCCATTTCTACCGGCGGAATGCGATCGTCTTATTTATGAATTATTTGCATCTGTACGTTTAGAAATTGTGACTGTGACGTCATTATTAAATAACCCAGAATATGATTATTGTTTCTCTTAAATGATAAAACTCATCAAACACGACAATCAGGAATGAAATGATGATGAATAGTGTTTCGTCTCTCCAGCTCTCTCATATATATATAT